GCTTATTTTTACTTCCTTCTAATCTTATAGCAGCCACCAAACTATCGGCCAGCTATCGATTAGATAATTGCTTGATGATATTTGGTTTATATTTTTGATTTCGACCAGTGGATAGTACAGATCTTTGATGAAGCTACTATAAAGGTTAGACCTAGGAAAAGGAATCTATATGAACTGAACTGGATGAAAAATAGGGTATTAGAGATGTGTTTGTACTAATTAGGCTACTACAAATAGAAAAGAGGATCAGGAATCTAACTAAAAAGCCTTTGCAATTGCAGAAAAGTCATAGCAATTGTAGGAGACCTACTAGCTGTCTTTCAGGAGGTACTTGTCTAGGTGCAAAGGAAAAATACATGGTTACCAGGCCATCTAGCTTAAAAGTTGAGAATCAGGGTTGGGGCTTCTGCTATCGACAAATAGGTAAAATCACCAATACCAACTAGATTGCCATCGAATCAGAAGAAAATAAGTGATTACATACCAGACTATCTAGATTGGAAGTCTGGGTAAAGAGAGCTAGGTTACTAAAGTACTGGGGATATACCGTGAAATAAGTTCTAGAATTTGAGTAAACTCTACAAGGACAGAAGTAGGTTTGAATAGCGGAGTTCAGCCAAACTGGGGTTAAAATTGTAGAAAGAAAGCAGGAGAAAGTTTAAGCTGAAGAAAAAACCGTAGGCAAAAACCTTGACCTGGCACCACATCATTCCTAGAATAGGTAAAACTAAGCCGCAAGTAGTGGACTACGATCTATATATACCAAACTGAAGCGCAGGCTAGGTGCAGTATAAAGTGGGAATACTGCAGGCTCTGCCAGATTTACTTAAAGAATAAAAGACCAGAAGTAGATTATGAAGGTGATGGAGATCCGCTTTAAAGTCCTAAGTTATCATGTGAATGTGTTAGGGAGACTATTCATAGAATCAAAGAATGGTTGCTGATTGACGTAGATATCAGAATACATAGGCATAGAGGGTTTATATGGGCAACTCAGGATCCCGAACAATCTATATAAAGTTATATTTAAGCATTATATAAAAAATTTTTTTTGTTAGCACTTTTAAATTAATAACTATTAGCAAAATTTTAAATATTAGATAAGATATCTTATTAAGATTAGCAATTTTTTAAATATAATATGATGAAAAATAATAAATTATTATAATTGATAGATTTAAGAATTAAACAAAATAGCTCCAATTCCAATTATAAAATATGTATTTATAACTATCATTTTGGCATATTTTTACATTACCCTTAATTTATATACAATATATGATGCATATGTTTAGTGTGAGTTAAATTATCTGACTATAATAATTAGCTATCAATATTTTGTTAATATATATATATTTAATGTTCAATTTTAAAATAAATTTTTAGAGATATGAGATAGGAGATAGATTTGATATGATAATTATGTTAGTTTTATTTGATTTGAAATCATTTTAATATATACGTCATGTGGTTGATATGTAATCATTATTAATAATCATAGTAATTCTAGGCCCAATTCCAAAAAACATAGTAATGTACTGAAGAGAGAAAAGAGCGTAATAATTTTTTAATAAATTATTGATTATTTATCCAATTCAGCCTTTCTGATCTGATTGACGCATTATAGGCTTTCACAAACTACTAAAATTATCATTACGTATTCATTTTAATAATATAGATATCAGATATATTTAATATCCGAAATACCATAGATCAGAAGGCTAAACTGGATAATTAATCAATAATTTACTAAAAAAAAATGAGTGCGCCCTTTCTCTTTGCAGTACTTATTTGTTAAAGCATATCAGGAAATTTCAAAATCAATAATTCAGCATCTAATTTTGAATAAAGTAAGCAATTTATTTTTAATATTAACGCATATTTGCAAGAATTGGATTTATTAATTTTTTCTCCAAGTTTCTATTGTTTGGAATATTCTTACCAAGTTACATGTCACTTTATTTAAAAAGTTGGAATTGGTATCAGAATTAGGTAATGATATTATAGCAAAATCTTGCAAGAAATTTTTTGTTAATATGCAAAAGGTAATTTTTAAATTATTATTTTACCTCTGATGTTGTTCTTGATTGGTTGTAAATATGTCATATTATTAAGGATTGTTGATTTTATCTAACCAGAAATATGATTTATACATAACTAATAGAAACTTGAAGGAAAAATTAGAGATCCAACAAGAATTAACAGAGAGAACTGATTAGGTTACATAATCCAATAAATCACAAGATAAAATTGCATAAATTGATATGCAATCGATGATATAAATATATAATTGAAAACTCTTGATGTATAAAACTGACAAGATATATTCAATACTCATTTTTACTTTGATACAATAGCCTTGGTAAAAAAAAAATTTTCAACCTTTCTCATCATATACTGTAGTTTTCAGATCCTGCAATTTTTTTATTTATTACAGTTTACAAAATTATGTAAAATTTGAAGATTATTAAAAAAAATAATCACTAATTTCTGGTCACTGATTTCTGATTTCTTCAATATTTTTTTAACTTTTAGACTAGACAAAATTTGTGTATTTGCCTTTTGTAAAAATTTGATCGAATATTTTAATATGCAACTTCTATTTCTGCAAATATATTACAAAATAATGAATATGCAACTTTTATTTCTATAAAAAATAATAAAAATTTTATAAAATAATAAATGCGACAATTTTGTCTAATATAGAAGTCAAAAAAATGTTGAAAAAATCAGAAATCATTAATTGATTACCTTTTTTTTTAATAATCAAATTTCACAACTACAATATTAGCCTGTTTTGAGCGATTACAGCATGATTTCCTGAAAGTCATTCACCCGACAGGCACTTACCCGATATCATGATAAATAGCTTTCAGAAAATTAAACGACAACTGTCAAATACTTAAATTTGGTAATTGAAGTTTAGCTTAATTTCTTAAATATGCTATAATAATATATATTTATTTAATTTTTTGATTTCAAAATTTAAAAAGTAAGATGATTATCATAAAATTTCTTTTATCTAGTGTATTTTTAAATATTAAACTAGAATAAAAAATAATATTTAACTATTTAAAATAGTATATAATCTTTTTTTGGTTTCAATATTATCAAAATATGTAAACAAATTCAATGCCTTTTTTGAAACAGTTAATAATCCTAAATTTTTATTAAGATTTAAAAAATTTCCAACTCCTAAATAATAAAGAATAGCAGAGGAAGATATATATAAAATAATAGAATAACTTAAACTAGATGAATATGAAAAGATATTATATTGAAGAGGAAAAAATACTTTAGTTGAGATATAAGATAAATCATCAATCGAATAATGTTTAGAAATAAATGAATGATAATTGCTATTCTTATAATAAAGTGCAAGTATATATACAATACAAATATTTTTTTTATAATATGCAATTGCAAATCTTCCTTGTTTTATCAAATGTGCTTCATTAATATTTGCAATAGTAATATTTAGAATATCTAATAAATATTAGAATGATTAGATAGTTTAATTAAAAATATGTAACACCAAAGAAAAACCAAACTTTAATCATATAAAATTTATACGATTAAATTCTAGTTTTCTTTAGTACTATCCAAATATAAATATATATAAAATATATATTGTAGCTAAAGCTAGAAATTAGAGGCCTCTATTTAAAAATATAAATCCTACCAAAATTCACTTATACATTTTATTATTAAAACTAACCAAAAATCCTAAGCTAACTACTGTATTTAAAACAAGCTAAAAAATGTGCCCAAAAAATTTTTGAAAAATTCATATTAAAATATTTAAAATTTCTAGCTTCAGCTATAACAATATATATTATTACATACTTACTAAGTAATTGTTGATTATTAGAATCTAACAAATTGTCTAATCATGATCATAATTTCCATCTATTTTGATGTGAGATATCTGGACACAAAGCTTTATTAGATGAAAGATAGAATACCAAACTTTGAGCATAGTTTGTATTTAATTTTTCAGATGATTGGTTTTGGTTTCTGCAAACTTGATGTTCCATCAGCTGACTTGTATAAGCCTCGTGTTACTGTCACAATTTAATCAAAGTTAATACAGCTACTTTCTCCTTATTAATATCATTTACTTTAATAAACAGTTCATTATCTAATATATCAGATGTAATTGGTATCATTGAATCTAAGAGCGATTGTGAAATAAATAAAAGATTTAATTGTCCTTCTTCATAATCAGAATAAGAACTATTAGATAATTCTCAATCATTTTTATTAATTTCAGTTGTAGCTATTGAAATAAAAAGATTTTTAATATTAATAATATCATCTAAGTTTTCTTGATTAGAATTAATATCATTTAATATTTCATCGTTATTATTTTCTTCATTAAATATTAATAGATTATATAATTGAAGAGAAATCGCTATTATATTTAAAATATTCTCAGTCAATATTTTTGTGTATTTAAATGCTTGATGAATTATAGCTTTAATTTCTTCATTCGTAGGCTATTGTCGCAAATTATTAATATGTTTATGAATATTATTATCTTGATAATGAGAAAAATAACCTATAAAATATAAATTATTAATTAACAAAAAAAATAATATATAAAAAATATAAGCAGTAGTTTTTTTTGATTTTAACAGCTACCTTACCTTGAAAGTGCATCAGGAGTACGTCGAGTGTATCTCGAGTTTGCATAGAGAGAGCATTTGCTTGCCTTGTAAATACAAAGTAAAATTTCTGATTATATATATAATTAGAAATTTTACTTGTATTTACAAAGCAGGAAAATGCTCTCTCTATACAAACTTGAGTTACACTCAACAGACTCCTGATGCACTTTTGACGTATTAAACAAGATAGGGCAGCTATTAAAAATTAAAAAAAACTACTGCTAAAAATATATAATATATTATACTAGCTGCAGAAGTTTTTTCTTTAAAAATCCAAATCGATTCAGATGTATATGCTTTATAAAGATATGATATTTTTGGAACTAAAGCAATAAGATCATTAAATGAAAATCTGGCAATAATTGATATGCTAGTCCAAAAAAATGTTCACAGCCTTTAGAACCATACATCTATAGTACAAATAGATATGTCGGGTAAAAATCACAATATGCAATAACAAGTAATATCTAAAAAAATTAAATTATTTTAAAATTATATTTAAATTTTAAACAACTAAAAAGCTTACTATTGATTTTGTAAGACTTGTTAAAATATTAAATGTTTTATTCGCTAAAAAATTTCTTTGTAAACTCATAAAATCAAAGCTTGTATTTGCACATACTTGTATATGATATCTCTAATTATGTAAAAAAAAATAACAAAGCATAACTATATAGCATCGATCTAATAATTTTATTTCTCGATTTTGAAATACATCTACAAGTTCACCTATTTATTAAAAAAAATAAACTTTTATTAAATATTAAAATTATCATTTTAAATTAAAAAATATTATACAATTACCAATAACATAAAGATAAATAAAAAGACACATTTTAGTTTTATCAATAAAAAAATTTTGGTCAGAAATTTGTTTAAGCAATAATGAACAAAATAATTGATATACAGCTCCATCATCTTGACGGTTAATATTTTTTTTTTTTTTTTGTATTAAGATGACCTTTTGATTGTGTTGTGTTTTATTATACAAGAATATCATTATACATATTTGGAGAGTATATTTAGCCATACCTGCGCTTTTTGAGCGTCTATTTAAGTAGTCTGCCTATTACTAGATTCTACACTATTTGCTATACCTGCAACCTGACTAGAGGATTACTTATTTTAAACCCTCTGCGCCTATATACTCTGAGGTCTTCCTATAATTGGCACCATTTCTCTGGTCTTTTAGAAACTAGTTTTTCTTGATGCAACTATTATACATAACCAATCTAGGACTACTTTATCCTTGAGGTAAACCTGGCAGAACCCACAGTATTTCTACTTTATACTGCACCTAGCCTGTACTTCAGTCTGGTACGCAGGGCCATGGCCTATTATATAGGTAGTGCCAAGTTGAGGTCGTTGTCTACGGTTTTTCCTCCAGCTTTTCATATCTAGATTTAACCTCAGTTTGGCTGAACTCTGCTACCCAAACCTACTTCTACCCTTGTAGAGTTCACTCAAATCCTAGTATGTACTTTACAGACTATTACTAGTATTCCCAACTTATTCCAAACTACTAATCCAGATGGCCTGGAAGGGCTGTGACCTGTTTATAGTCCCCACGGTTAGGTCCTTTTCCTCTGGTTACTCTCCCGGCAGCCTGGTTGGTGGAGTGCCTTGCCTAATACTTTGGTCTTGTTCAGTTTTTGCCAGTTTTTTCAGTAATAATTCTTTACGTTATACTGTTGAAGATCTGTACTACCTCTTTACTCAGGGCTTGCCAAGCAGACATCTATTTTTTTGTTTCTTGGGTTTACAATGATCCAAAACTTTTCATATAACTCATATATCACACGAAGTCTATGATCTCCCAATCTTGTTGGTGCTACCAAGGTTACAGAAATCCTGTTTCAACTAATCACCAAAAGACAGTAGCCATCGTATAAATAGAATATTCGAAATTCGTTATTAGTAAATTTCAAACCCTCTACCTATTTAACATGCCGCTTGGGGTGTGGCAACTTAATCACTTCACTAAGTCACCACACCCATACGGTCAACATTTTCAACATCTCGTTTATATAATATACTATTGAAATCTTGGCTTAATTCTAATATATAATCATAATATACTGTAGTATAACCAAATATTAATAATCGTGTACCAGAAAATAATGCATTTTGCGCATCTTTTTTAGCATGAAGTGGATCAGTAATAGATATTATAGGACCAACATCTTCAATAATTGGGCAACTAAATTTAATATCTATAAAGAATTAAAAATTAAGATATAATTTAACAATAAATATATAATATAAATAATTTAATATTTAATATATAAATTATCTTGAAATTCAAGTTTATTTGATGTTGAAATTTGTATAATTTTTTTTTGTATATTAAACTCAGAAGAAGCACCATCCGCACCAAATGCCAAAATTGAAAGCTTTAATTAAGCGACTATTTTAAGTAAATTCTGAT